CGTCGGACAGATGGCCGATGTCAGCGGTGGGGGTGTCAGTCTTTCCCCAGGTGCCGAAGTCGCTCGCTTCTCCGATGCTCAATTGCCCCTGCGCAAGGTAACTTTGAACAGTGCCGGGGAATACCGCTGCACTGTTAGTAATCCCTCGCCCAACCCCAGCGTCATCAATGTGCCCAAAATCACGCGGAAATTCCGTCTTCATGTGATTCGTAAGTGGATATATCCTTTCTACTTTATTTTTTTTACGAATGACGTGTTTTTTTTACTGTTAAAGTGTCTTTTGAATAAAGGCAGGTTTACACGCTTTAAGTACAGACGAGCTCGTTGAGCTCAGAGTTTGTCAAAGTCTGCCGTCCGTGCATGACATTTCGGCCGTCGATTTCGACGCTATCCACCGTATGCTCTACAATAGGGTTGAGCAGGGACAGTGCATTGCGCGTGGATTAGTTTTAAGTGATAATAGACTTGCGCTGCATCTACCGCACTCTCTCTACCCTCATACGCCTGTGCAACGTGTCAAGACAGGGTCAAGAAGACCGGAGGCAGGATCGGGCATGGGTGGCTAGTGTGCCCTTAGCCTGCACTTACCCGTACCACCACGTAGGCTTATGGGAGCGTAACCCGACGTACTCCTGCCGTGCCCTAATCTAGCCCCCGTGCTGGTCCAGCGCATCTATCACGTGACCGTTCAGGGGGCACATATGCCGTTTATAGGCGCCTGCTCACGAATATTGGGAAGACCATGGTAAGGCTATAAATTTATTAATAACTTCACGCGTAGTAGTTAGGTAAGTGTTTGTATCTGGCTCGGTCGAGCTTTCGGCTCAAAGGGTCAAATCCGTTTGAGTTTTAGGATGGTAAACAGAAGTTCAGTCCCGCATTTACGCATGTGAAGGTCTAAAATGTTGTCCTTCATGGTGCTCTGGGCGCGAAATCTCTTCCACCCCTCACATACTCCTTCCTCTTTCTTTTCTTTCTCTTTGATTCACTTCTCCCTGTCCATCTTTCGTCTTTTTGTCCCCTCCTTCGTCGCCTTCCTCCTCGTCCCCCTCCTCCTCCCCATCATCATCATCATCATCATCATCATCATCATCATCATCATCATCA